TAACCCCAGGACTGGGGAGGCTGAAACAGGAGGATCATTATTATAAGTCTGATAAGCAGTAAGATGCTGTACCAAATAAGTAAATTTTTGAAAACAATTTTAAAAATAAAATAAGTATGTGTATCAGATGTATGAAAATAAGCACATACTTGGATTCAATTGTAGAAATCTGAGCATTACACATATAATATATTTTTAAACTGTGGGTTTCTTGAAGATGTGATAAATGAATTTAAAAGAAGTATTTATATTTGAGAGCTATGTACTAAGTTTTCAGATAAATGGTATGATATCTTGGATTGTTTTAAAATAATCCAGAGTGGGCTGGGGAGATGGCTCAGTAGAATAAGAGCTTGCCTGGCAAGCACAAGGGCCTGAGTTCAATCCCCCGTTCTGAAAAAAAAAAAAAAAAAAAGGTCAAACTAAAATAATCCAGAGAAAAGGAACTAGTGAAACTGATTTAAAAATAATAAGACACAACATGCAGGACACATGCTGCATCACCCACACCGCTTACAGCAGTGTGTGCGTGTGATCGAAGCTCAGCACATTCCCGGGAGATCTTGATGACCTGAGACCGTTGCTTCATGGAGGGTGAGCTTGGTTCCTATTTTGAACAGGATGGAGAACATCATAAGGCCATATCACTGCATACTGTTAAAATTAGGAGGGGCCAGGGAGATAGCTCAGTAGAATAAGAGCTTGCCTGGCAAGCACAAGGGCCTGAGTTCAATCCCCAGTTTTGAAAAAATATATATATAATTAGATAATAAGATGACCATCTGATGATTGTAAGTGTGAATACGGGAGAAGTTCTGCTTGAATAGGAATGTACCATGCTTTTGTCTCTGTATTAGTCTGATGCATCTCTCTGTGCAACAGGAATGTGATTAAGGGTGTGGTGGGTGGGCGGGGGCGGGCTTGTGTGCTTACATGCCATCTGTTATTTAGCTGTGTGGTGTAGTTACTGAAAATATTCTCTGGGCAATTAGATCAGTTTATTTGTGAAACCAAAGGAAATAAAGATCATAAGGATGCCAAAATCAAAATAAATAAATAGGGCCAGGAAGATGGCTCAGTAGAATAAGTGTTTCCCTGGCAAGTGCAAGGGCCAAGTTCAATCCCTGGTTCCACCAAAATAAATAAATAAATAAATAAATAAATAAATAAATAAATACAGTGAGTTGATAACTACTGAAACTGGATGGTGGGTACATGGGGTTTCATTATTGTATTCTCTCTATTGTTGTGTATATTCAAAGTATTTTATCAAATAGTGAGAAAAATAAAGGACCAAGACATTTTTAATGTGAAATTGTCTATCAAAATGGAATAGGGCCGGTGAGACAGCTCAGTGGACTAAACGACTGCTTTGGCAAGCACAGGGACCAGGGTTCAGTCCCTGGTCCTGCATACCTTGCTGGCCCCATGCCCAGGGCGCACTGAGTCAGAGACCCAGTCCGGGCGTGATGGCTCATGCCTGTAATCCCAGCGCTTAGGAAACTAAAAACAGAAGGATCACATGAATCCAATTTGCATAGTGAGATCCTGTACCAAATACACAAATGAAAAAAATAAATGGAATACAGAAGCCCAGACTTATCTTCCCATCTGAAACAATGAAAAATACATTCAAAAAAATTGTTTTTGGACAATGACTAGCAAACAACAAATGAGAGTGCTCTGCATTTGCTTGGTTTGCTGTCTATAAAGTTTCTACCCAAAGCCCGGAAGACTCCCTGGGGTGAGGGCACAGATGGCAGTGCATGGAGTGACAGCCTCTTAAGCTTCCAGGATATAGTGCGGCACAGAGGAGGGAGCGCCACAGAGGTGTCAGCCTCCACTCCCATACACCTGCGGACTACAAACCAGAGTCTGCATGTGAGGGAACAACTAGGAAATGAATAGTCACACAGTTTAAAAATCACATTAAAAAAAACCAGGATAGTTAAGGATAAATCTGAGAAATAATATGTAAGGCTCATACAGTTAAAGCAGGAAGACACTGCTAAGAAAAATCAAAGACTAACTAAATGGATCAATATACAATATTGTATCATAAAAGATCCAACTATTTTAGCATGCTAATTTTCCACAAATTGATCTATAGCTTCAACTTAAATCCAACCACACTGTCTTCATTTTTTACAGAAATAGGTAAGTTGGATTTTCTTCTCCGGCCGGTGCAGCGCAGGTGCACAAAGCATCGAGCTGGCCTCCTGGGGACCTCTTCTGCACAAATGGCTCTTTGGTTCTCCCAAATATTCTTGTAGCACAGATTTTTCTACTTTCAGGAGTTGTTTGAAGGCAGGATTTTTAGCCACTTGAAAAAAGTTCATGGGATTTTTGACAACTCTGCTGTCCCTGGCATAGATCTGTCTCTACAGAAGCCCTTCCAGGAATACCTCGAGGCCCAGTGGCAGAAGCTACACCACAGGAGCAAAGCTGGTGCACCCCAGGGAGAAAACTGGCTGTCCTGGCTGTTTGAGAAGTTGGTGATGGTGACGGTGTGTTACTTTATCCTGCCTGTCATTAACTCCATGGCACAGAGTTATGCCAAACGAATTCAGCAGCGGTTGAACTCGGAGGAGAAAACTAAACAAGCAAAAAACATTTTTAACTGCAGCAGTTATAGTGGATGGGTTCTGCCTTAACTTGAGGGGACTCCAAATGAGGAAGGAAAATTCCCTTTTCCAGCCTGTATCAATTTTAAAGACTTCCTGAAAGCAGTTTAGCCCCTCTTTTGCACTGACATGCTTTTCCTTGTGTTAAGGTGAGGCGCCCCTTCAGTGCAGCCCAGCTTGTGTTCTGTTAGGCTGGCGTGTGCTGCTCAGCCTGAACTTCCCAGAACTGGCCTCTGTCTCTTCAAAAGGCCCACATGGTACAATTAGAGCATTCCTGCCACACCAAAAGTTCCTAGGTGTGTTAAATATGTCAAGCTTTTCAGGCTTGTCGGCAATGATTGCTATGTTTTTCTAAGTCCTCAAAATGTGTACAAGTTCTAGAGACTGGCTGAGTCCTGCATGTCTATCATAGCATAATTTAATACACCATCCTGCCAGTCCTTCCCCAACCCCTCTCAAAAAAAGGCCATTTTATGATGCATTGTACACCCTCTGGGGAAATTTATCTTTAAATTTTGAGACAGTATAAGGAAAATTTGGTTGGTGTCTCATGAATGAACTGACACCATTTTTTATTCTGTGTATCTAGAATGAAATCATGAAAAACTTTATAAAGACATCTTTGATCATTCCAAAAATAAATAAATAAATAAATAAATAGACAGGTTGATTTTATAGTCTCATAAAAATGATATGGGTCCTAATACTGTACCTCAAAATAACTTAATAAAGAACAAGGCTGTTGATAAAATATTCCAAAACTTACTAGAAAAATGACGTTATATGGAATTGGTGTTAAGAAAAGAAAACAAACTGTTAAAGCCAAATAAATATCTAGAAATAAATCCACCCACATGCAGACAAATTGTCCAGAAACAAATCTAGCCATATACAGACAAATTATTTTTTACAAAGGCAATTTTTCTTTAAGTGGTATTACTATTTAGATATCAGTTAGCAAACAATGAACTTCAACAATAACCAAACTTCACCAAATAAAATAAAGAAACTAAACTACTAAAAACTAGACGACTCAATAAGGAAATATTGCTGACCTTGGATTATACAAAAATATCTTAGTTATCCCACCGAAAGTATGATCCACAAAAAAAGAAAGAACTGATAACCTAGACCTGACTAAAAGGAAAAGTGTCTGTCCTTTGTAAGACGCCGTCAGTGCAATGAAATGGCACAGACTGCTGGTGGGATGCAACCTGGCATACCTGCCTTGGAAAACTGTTTGGCAGCTTCTTGAGCATGAATCATTGCTATAGTTTGTGTCTAGTTGCCCCCTCAAAGCCTCCTGCAGTCATGGGGTGGCTTCTAGAGTTTGTGATTAATTCTTGGTCCAAGGCTGGGATTATGGGTGTGAGTGCTACACTCGCCCTGGGGCAGATAATCTGCATAGAATGTAAGGAGGGAAGAGGGGCTGGCTAGCTGCCGCAGCTGCTGCACCTCCCTTTGCTCTTTGCTGTTTTCTGCCATCATGAACGGCTGCCCTCTGCCATGTGCCACTCTGCCTTGTAGCCAGCTGAGTACGGACTGAAACCTCCACTAACTGTGAGCTAAGTAAAGCTTTCCTTCCTTAATTCTGGGTGTCAGGTATTTTGTCCCAGCAATGAGAGAAAAGCAACTAAGACAACCACATACCACATACTCACCCATTTCTGAGGTAAGTATTTTCTTTAAAAAAAAAAATGTTTATAGGAAGGCCTGTACTCAGGTAAGTATATCAGGATTATTTATAATAGATAAAACCTAGAAACAATCCAAATATCTGTCAACAAGTGAATAAATGAACAAACTGGCATGTATGAATATCCATCAGGATACTTTCAGGAATAAAAAGGAACAAACTCTTGATACATTTAACAAAAGGAATGAATGAATCCCAAATTCCAACTTTGATATCCTCAGAACATACAATAAAAGACAAAAATACTAAGTGTTAAGTACTGATTTTTTCCCCAATGGTAGACACCAAAGTTCATCTATAGCCTATAGATTATGAACCGAAAGCAAAAGACTGCCTGAGACAGGGCAGGGGAAGGGGGGAAGATTACAGACAGGCACAACGCAACATGGGCGGACAAGAGATGGTTACTGTCCTGGTGGTGTTAAGGGTTTTATGGGTGCTTGTCAAAGCTGTATCAAATCATACACTTACAAACGTGTTCATGTCATTAAATCTTAATTCTATGCCAGTCAAGTAAGGATTTTTTTCCTTAAAATGAGAAGATCTCAAGTTCTTCTTCTCTATACATACATGCACAAGAAAGACGCAAATGCAAGGAGTAACCAGCAATCAGAAATACAAATTCAAGTCACTTTCTGATTCGATATGGATAAACACAAATCTAAAATAACGGAACTTACATTTTCTCCCACACACGGAGACAGTAATGCTATTATGTGCTTCAACTAGACGGTGGAGTTTTACAGATTGCTGAAAAAGAAAGCAACAGAAAATGTTTATTCGTTCGAGTGCACCGTCCCAGGAATCACTCAGGACGATGCCTGCCTTCTCTAAGGAAGCAGTTGCTGGCTCATTGCCAGATGAATGTGCTGGCCAAAACCTAAACTGACTTGCCTAGTGCTCAACCGAAGAGGTTTCTCCCCATTATTAACAAGTGTGTGTTCTTTAACACAAAGGAATTTTCCAGCATTCTCTTTCCATTCCAAATGGCTCTTGAAAACCACAAATCAGTGCGCAGTCCTTCAAGTAGGCAGATAACATCAAGAACATTTAATCCGTGTTTACACCTACACAGCTTGGAGCACAAAGCATTACTTCTGCTTAGCCTCTTCTATACCACGGGTCCAAATCTTGTGGTTTTCAGGAGTTGGTTGTTCTCACTATTTCTTTGTGGCATTTTTTGTTCTAACATATACAATCCGTGGGTCAGTGAAAGTGAGTTAATAAGCAATCATAGAAGAAATATAGAAAAAGCTGTATTTGATTTCACATTTTTATGAAGAAACTATTGTGTGAATAACCTCTGTCAAGTTCTGAGGGGTTAAAATTCTCCTTTAATGTGTTCGTTTGTTTATGTCTAATTTTTGTCATTCTCTAAATCTCCTGGTTTCAAATTATTCACAAATTTAATAGCTACATCCCAAGAATGATTAGCAGAACTGGACAGCCTCCTGGACAGCCAGGAGGAGATGCAGCAGTGCTGACTTGAGCCACGGTAGGGTTAGGATGGGGAAAATGAAATGATACCAAGATAGAGGTAGGAGGAACAATCTTTAGGACGTGGTGCATGACTAAGCAGAAAGACAAGCAAGTTGCAAGGGTGACAACCTGATTTCCAGCTTGAATAATAAATGACCAGTGGTGATTTTTACCAAATCACATAAACCTAAAGAGATAGCTGAGGATTTCTTAAGGTCTGTGTCGACTGTGTTAAATTTAAGGTAACATCTGGCCACAAAGATAAAGCATATCAAATAATTATTAGATTTAGGAGTCTGGATCTCACAAATGACTATATATAAAATTATATGTAAAATTAATTGCATATGTATATATAATTAGCATATGCTATTGTTTTGCATACACTTAGAATGAACTCAGCTGAAATGTTACAACATAATTTTTACATCAACTACACAGCTTTACAAGGAAGGCAGTTCTACATATTAAGTTTGCAAATATATAATCTGTGGTTTTCTCTAAGGTTGAAATGCTGTAACTGAGACATTTGGGTTATTTCCTTGTGGCCTCATGGACTCAGAAGGGAAATCTTGCTAATTAAAACAGATATTGTTTTAAACTTTTAAAACAATGGACCTAAGAGTTGTAGTGATATCTTTCACAAGACTTGTTCAAATAGAATCCTGAGAGAAGAAACCAGGTCAGCAAGTGAAAAGGGAGAGGAAGAGAAAGGACAATGAGAATGGGCGGGGCTGGGGAGATGGCTCAGTGGAATAAGCCCTTCCCTGGCAAGCACAAGGGCCTGAGTTTAATCCCCGGTTCTGCAAAAAGAAAAAAAAGAAAAAAATTCAGCGCTGAAGCAGGAAGTGTGTTAAGGAAATACACTGCCTTGTTGAACTTTGTCTTTAAGTTGGAAGACGCCTGAGAATGGTGATCTTTGTTGAATAATCTCTTGGGAGGAGGGAACAAGAAGTCATTTGCAGACCTGTATCATGCTTGCCCCAGGAAGATAGGGGAAGATGGTATCTCAGGCGTGGGCAAGCGGCCTCATCTGCTGAATGTGAAGACAGGCCTGGCATGGGCTGGAGTGTTGGGTCATTTGGAACATAGTAGTTAAATTCCTGTTTTACAGCTTATACTATTTTTATGAAATATGTGATTAGATTATGTGCTCAATGGTTTTGCTTTATTTGCTTTTTTTGAGACAAGGTCTTGCTGTGCAGTTCAGACTGTCCCTGAAATCGCTTATGTAGCACAGACTGGCCTCAAGCTCACAGCGATCCTCCTGCTTCAGCCTCCTGAGTGCTGGGATTACAGGTGCAAGCCACCTCTCCTGGGTTATGTGCTAGACTAGAGGAAAGTGGAATACAGAAATGTGGGCTTTTCAGAAACAAGAAGGTATTATCTGAGACCTGAATCTCAGGGAATGGGCAAGCACTTTGATCAGAGATATACAGCACACTTCCCAGGGGAAACTGACGCTCACAGATCCCTGCGTCCAGCTTGTTCTGTGTGATTTTCTTCCACTATCACTGAGATCCCCTGGGCAGGTAAAAAAAAAAGCCCAGAGTGGAGTCAGAGATTCAGCGAGACAGTACCAAGCAAACACAGAGGCAAATGAGCACATTTGAAACAGGTTCCTCCACCTTGCACCTGGGACAGATAACGTGAAAGACTAGAATTTGGCCTGTGAGGAAAGGGAAAAACTCATCTAGCCTTGACAATTGCATGAGAGAATTACAAACATGGGTTTATTTTAACATGCACTGGGCAGTGACAATATCATAATTCTCCTTTTTTATGGCTTTATTTTTTTCCATAATTTTATTGAGAAACAAATAGCAATGAGACAGTTTCAAATCAAATTGGTAGGACAGTTTCAATAATTAACACATTGCGTACTCTCTTCCTAGTGGTTATTTGCTGTACAAGATGCGGACATCATAACCTATTTACAAACACTATTAGAACAAATCCCTGTATTCATTAAGAGAATGTAACTGTCTATCTATCCTAACCATTTTGAATACACAAATACAAAATGGACATTCATCTGGCAAGCCATACAGTTATATGTAGAAAATGGGTAAGGCAATGATCCTGAAAATCTTCAGAAGATTTACGAATCTAGCAGTTAATTGGAAACATTCTCACCCTGACTAACTATATATACTGATACCTGTGAAGTAAGCAACTGCACTGAAGATGGTAATCTGTAATAGTAGTTCCATGTTTGGAGTGCCTGTCATTCTGGTCTTCTGAATACGGGCTGCTTGTCATGACATGCCAATTGCTGCTGTGCTGTCTCTCGGGTAGATGATTGTTTAAAAAGAAAGGGGTGGTGAATGAAGGCAGGAGACAGGAAAAGGAATGTTGTGGGACTGTGCTGCTACAAGATTGTATATGGTTAGATTTCTGGACTTATGTGTAAACATAAGAATTATATAATTCTTTATGCCTATTTTTAAAGTATATTTTAATTTTTAATGTTTTTTCATCATATTCTATAGGGACTTAAAGTTCAACATATCAATACTTAATGAAAAATACCTGCTCCATGTTATGCCTAAGATGTTTGGTATTCAGACAGATAGTGAGGTTAAGCTTAACAGCTTAGGTTGTATGGTAATAACAATAAGCTTCTGTTCTGGATGGTTAACAACCTAAGTTTGCAGACCAAAATTAGAGAAAAAGGAGGGCCGCAAGGAAAGCCAATATTTTGGCCCGAGCCTTCCAAGGTCAGTTAAGACTCAGGACGTATGAAAACTTGTACTGTAACATCATGTAAGTCAGTAGTGTCCCACATTTTCTGATCAAGGAGATTATGGGGCCAAAGAGGAAAGTGATCGATGATGTAGAGTGTGCCGAAGGAGAGTCACATGGAGAGAAAAAATTCTCTCAGGCTTTCACAGGGAGCACATTGGCCAAGCAATGGCCGTGACTCAT